TGCTAACTTCAGCCTTTGACTAAAGCGCCGTTAAGCCACAACTTGTCAATGTGTATTTAAAAGGTCACTTAGGGCCGGTTTTTCAATCATTGGTTAAGTTTATCTTACGGTTAATTTCCTTAGCTACTATTGTTAACACAATAGTATCTAAGAAAGTTAACCATAAGATAAACTAGATATCCAACGATTGAAAAACCGGCCCTTAGTGTCATGAAAACATGTACGATAAAGGGCGTTTTAAAGGTGGGAGTAGAAAAAATTATTTTTTTTTAAATTTATACATGGTATTGAAATAGTATCTAAGAAAGTTAACCATAAGATAAACTAGATAACCAACGATTGAAAAACCGGCCCTTAGTGTCATGAAAACATGTACGATAAAGGGCGTTTTAAAGGTGGGAGTAGAAAAAATTATTTTTTTTTAAATTTATACATGGTATTGAAATTTATACATGGTGTTTCCAATATCTTTAAATTTTGACTTAATACAGCTAAACCAAGCACGGATTTGTAATCTACTGTGCTGTGATATTTTCACCTCCCTATAGGGAGGTGAAAATATCACAGCACAGTAGATTACAAATCCGTGCTTGGTTTATACAGTGTATACAGTGTAAATGTTAAGTTTAATTAAAATAATAACGGGCAATGGTAATGGTAAAAATTACGTCCAAAATGTTTATTGGGATGGTTACTTTATTTTTGTATAGATGTCGCTTTATACAAATATTTAATTTAAATTATTTTTTAGATAATATTAAGTATTCGTCATAGAAAAAGTATAGTATGCAACTCGTTTATAAACTTTTTTAGGCACTCATTTAATTAACAATTAAAAACAATAGAATTTTGACTGTGTATGGTGTGTATATTTAAGAATCTGTATTGTTTTTATATAAAAATCCAAATATTTTTAAAATTGTTAAAACAAAATCCACAAGAATTACCAACTACTATATTCCTCCACATAGACTAAGTCTATATGAGAAAGGACCCTTATATTCTTGTATATCTTTTTATAATAAACTTCCAGAAGATATAAAAAGCATAAAAACAATACAAGTTTTTAAAAGCACCCTTTATGATTATATTTGTGAAATGGAACCATATGCTTTAAGTAATTTTACTATGTAAATTTTTCGGCCATGATATCCAACTTTTGTTTGCATTCTTTGACTAGTTTCTATTTACTGTTTGTCTGTTTACTGTAACTTTTAAACATTATTTTTGAAAAAAACTTTATTATTTTTATTATTATTATTATTAATTAAGCACTCGCTCGAAACCTCGCTCGTGCATAAATTAAATTCGTGCCTAAAATGGGGTTTATTAAATTGATACATAATATACTATTTACGCTCCAACTGAATTTTTATAAAATTGTTTGTTCGGGTAACTTTGAACCACCTTGAGTAGGTACGTGTAACAGATAGAACATAACATCGGACGGACAGACAAAATTTAATGTGTTTACAATTCGTAGTACTTAACACCACCAGCGCGGCACAATGAAATGCTAATTAACCTATTTACATGGAAAGGTTAATCGGGTCACGTGCCTGCCACCTTTACGCCGCCGTCCTTAATCAATTACTAGTTGCTAATATAATAACGCCTTCAATTTGTTTCCATTTAAGTTGGTTTAGTTTAAATATCCATTACATTTATGCCTATCAATCGCAATTAGCTGTGGCTACGATTATTTTGTCTATGTGGCTGCCCCTAAGCAGTGGCAGTATTCAATAAAAATAGTTGAGTATACCTATAGGTATGAATAACCAAGTTTAATACAAACAGTCAAAATATTAAAGAAACATAATAAAATATTTTTAATGAGGTTCGAGCACGATATTAGTCGCTATAAGAAAATGTTGAAAAAAACTGTAGTAGAGTCTACTTAAAAGACGTTTACAAAGTTTTAGAAAGATTGACCGTCTGGTTTCCGAGTAAAAAATGATTAAAGTTGCCTACACGGAATGTTATCGTTTATTATTGCTAAACTGTGAAAATTTATGTGCCAACCCTACAGGTATAAGGTCATACGAGAAAAAAAATCATCGATTTCTTATTGACATTTTCTCCTGTATACAGCACATGTCTTTACTTAATTCATATCTTCTATCCTGGCATTGATAAATTTATGATTTTTTTTCTCGTATGCCTGTAGAAGTGCAATAATAAACAATAATCAAATATTTGAAATATTACCCAACACCAAAAGAAAACACAAAATGCTTTAAGTACTCAGTTATACTTCGCTTCTAAAGATGCCAATATCGTTGGCAAAAAGTACTTTAAACACTTTAATCAATCTGTCATTTTCGTCTAGAAGATCAGCCAACTCTGGATTACAAAACGCGCGATTACTAGGGATATTTGGTTTGATTTATTTGCTGACTACTATAATATCGAATAATTAGACAATCCTTCTACCTTCTATGGATATCTTATCTTTGTTTTTTGCTCTTCTCTTGAGACTAACATACTGAATGTTTTCTGTTGCTTTATTTTTGGTTCCCATACTCTCTAAAAATTAGTCAAAAATAATTAATTTATGGCTGCTTTTTCACTTGTACCATGGTTAACCATGGGATACCATGGTATCCCAAAATTTAACAGACAATTCTTATGTAAAATTATCCCCAAAATCCGAAAATATTGTCAAAAGTTAAAAAAGTAGAACAGTTTTTGAGATATAGTCAATTTTTCATTTAATATGGAATTGACTATATCTCAAAAACTGCTCCACTTTCATAATTTTTGACGGTATTTTCGGATTCAGGGGACAATTTTACATAAGAATTGGCTGTTAAATTTTGGGATACCATGGTATTCCATGGTTAACCATGATACAAGTGAAAAAGCAGCCACTTATAACTATTAAATTAGTCATTTTTGGCTAATTAATTACCTTTTTTGATTATTTTTTGCTTTTTAGCGGACTTTATTCATTTCATAGAACATAATAGTTCGTTTTCACAACTCATTTTACGATTTTAACTAAAACTACATATAGAACTGTCACTGCCACTGTCAAAAGCAAAAAGCGTTACCAGAGAATCCAACAATCAACCACTCGCAATGTTGTCGCCTTAAAATCCTATTTTTTATATTTTTTAATTCAAGTTCTTGTGTCACAATATATTGTGCCTTTTGTTTTTAACATAAAAAATAATTATAAAATCAGTTTAAAATTGGATGTTTTTTAAATCAAATGTATTAAAATGACAAAGTAAATTTTGTTTTTACAAGTTGGTACCTATCGCATTAAGTATAAAAGCAACTTCCCTTACCCCTTTCCCCGCAAAATACTGCCCGAACAGTTTAAAAAACCCTGAACTTCTTTTAATGTAAAATAAAAAATATAATAAAATAAAAATTTAGCAAAAATATATCTCCTAATTTTAGTTTCCAACGTTTGGCCCGTGTGGTGTATACTATACTAGGGTGAGTCAGAAGTAGTTGCCTTATCCAAAAGTTATTAGTTTTGGAGTTATTTGATTTTTTGTGATTTTGGTAAAAAATCGTGTCCAGGTTTACATTTTTTAAAATTTCTCGATAAGAATTAAAGTTAATTAAACGATTCTTTTTTTAGTAGTTAGCCCATACATTGGTACATGCCACATAGTAATAGTTTTTCCAAAAAAGCCATATGGAACTTCAGAACAACAGTATAAAATAAAATTTTATTCGCGAATTTGGAAGACTTGTTAAGTTCATCAGGATTTTTTTTTTAATTTCACTATACATTTGTACACCTGTATGTGCCTTACAAAGTTGACATTTTCTATCCAAAAATAATAGTTTTTATGGACATATTATACATCATTTGAAAGGTAATACATTAAAAAAGTTTTTTAAACAATTTGCACGCAAAGTGTATATTGAAATTAAAAAAAAATCCTGATGAACTTAACAAGTCTTCCAAATTCGCGAATAAAATTTTATTTTATACTGTTGTTCTGAAGTTCCATATGGCTTTTTTGGAAAAATGTATGGGCTAACTACTTAAAAAAGAATCGTTTAATTAACTTTAATTCTTATCAAGAAATTTTAAAAAATGTAAACCTGGACCCGATTTTTTACCAAAATCACAAAAAATCAAATAACTCCAAAACTAATAACTTTTGGATAAGGCAATATGGGGTTCAAACGACTCAAAATAATCTGTAGAATCACCTCCTTAAATTAATGCACCTACTTCTGACTCACCCTGTATATATCCACTGGACATTTATTAAAATGTTAAAGCAAAATTATCTCCTTAACACTACAAATAACACTACCAAATAACAACAAAATTGGGCAAATAAAATTTAAGATATTTACAAAAAACCAATTTAACCCTGTATCATAAAAACGAAGCATTTGTGAAAATCAATCAAAGAATCGCCTGTTAAATTTATTGTACATACTTAAGTAGCACCCTGTATTTAAGTTAGGCAACATAAAAATATTAAACGTTAAGAATTTTTTGTCAAATTCTTTCTCACTTAATCATGTAATTTCATAATGGATCAAAAAATTACCATATTTTTTGTAAAAATCAATATTAGGTCCATACATTACAATTCCAGACACTACATTGTTTTGATTACCATGTCTACTACAAAAAATTAGATAAGAATCTTTTTAAGTACTTAGCGATATTTAGCCGGCTAGATCCAGATCTGCACGCGATTTGTCTTGACCATTGATTGTGTCATTAATCAAGTCCGCCCTGCTCAAAACATATCATTAGGTCATTTATTATTTATTAAATTGGCTATTTTTATGATTAATACTTTATTAAGTTTTTTTAATTATAGCTTTATTATCAAAGTGGTATCGGATAATCATTAAAGTTTTATTGGGATATTCGGTAGCTATTTTTGTGATAAAAAATATATTAGTTTTGCCAATATAAGTAGATTAATTCTTGATTAAAAAAATTAATAATTAAATCTTGTTTATTTGTATTTATACAATGTATAATATACATACATTTTTTTTATTTTCAGTGGTATTCTGCATACTGGAATAGTGGAAGTTACAAATTTATTTTATGAAGAAAATATAATTGATATGGTGTAAGTATTTATTTTTACAATAATTACAATTTTATATAATATTATCGTATCCTTTTCCTAGTGTTAGTATTAGAATTAGAATGGCAGTTAAACATTGGAAAAAAATTAGTGATTCCCAAATAATTTGGTAAAAAATAAAAAACTTTTAAAACCAAAACTAGATTTTGAGTTCCATATTGGAATTTTACAAAAAATGAAGGAATCCAACGATTTATCAAACTACATAATTTATGACTGCCATTATAAAAACAAAAGATGGTGATGGTAATTTAAAATTCAAAAATGCAGATTAATCAGTATGTTTACATGTAAAACTTGCTTTTTTAAAATTCCCAGGAATAACGAAGTTATAATGATTTTTGGTTTTGACAGGTTTTTAATTTATTTCAAATATTTTGAGAAAAAGTTTTTTTTTTAATTTCATTTTAATGGTCTTGTATATACGCAACTTAAATAAAAAAATACCCATAGAAGATACTTGGTGCACCCTGTATACATAATTCCACTGGTAGTAAAATTTTACCAATAAAATTTTAAAATTGTATACAAAAGTTTTTGGCTTGGAAATTTTGCAGGTGGCATTAATTTTATAAGACCACAAGCCGCCAGGAGAGTGGTTTTTAATTAATGCCAAGAGCGAAATTGCCAAACAGTGAAAACCTTTCAGGAAAATTTTTATCACGAGTGGTATTCGGAAAAACTATTTCTTCAAGATTTTTTAGGTACCATTTTTTACTGCCGATTTAATTTCAAGTTGATTTTTCTTGCCAAATTACAATTAAAGTGGTCGGGGCAATAAGGGACCTTATTGGAAAAATATAAAGCAAGCAAAGTTTAAAGATAATGATTCAACCCTAAAATTTGTTATTTTGATATTGTGATTAGTTTATAATAAACCACTTAAATTTTATTAAAGGATATAAGAGTTTAAAAATTATTTTCTTTTTAATTGAGGCTTTAAATAAACACTTTAAACCATGTTTACTTAATATTTTTTCAATGAGGCATAGGTCCCTTATTGCACCGATCTCTTTAATTTGTTCAAAATTTTTTGATTTAAATAAATTACCAACTATATACGGGTAGTTTTATTACTGTTAAAGTAAAAAAACATACATTTTGTAAAATCTTATTGGTCCAAAAAGTAATGAGTGAAATAGTCGTCCGATAGAGCAGAAATACTGCGGCCTCATTGGCGGCTTTTAACATAACTCAGAATTGCAATTTAGCGAATTTCATAAAATGATAAACGAAAATTTATCTTGGAATTTCAAAAGGAATTTCCCATTACCCTTTGGGCTGCCAATTATTATACAAATTTAAATGTGCAAAATAATGTTTGTGACTTTTTGATAACACTGGTGGACAAACTGGAATTTTTTGTTTGCCACAGGGTGGCCAATAACTTTTTAAGAGAAATTTGGGTGAGCTGATTCTAAATTAATTTTGTTCAATTGGCTCTTGTTTTTGCGATTTTGTGAAAAAAACAAGTTTTTAATGCAAAACAAAATTCGTATTTGGTTCATTATACTATTAAGGCTCTTTGTCATAATAAATTGAGACAGCTAATAATGATATTAATAATAATACTTTATTTATGCTTAAAAACAATACAAAATTGCGTGCACAAGTCGGGAAATATAATAAATATATAATTCGTGTGGCATAAAACTATTACAAAAAAAATTCAATTAAAATACATTAATAATTAAAACACCAGAAGGCATCAATGCGAATGAGCATATAAGATATAGTCCAAGAGTCTACAGTGATCAGTATATCCAGCACCATAAATAGTTCTTACAGCTTGCTTCTGTAAACGAAAAACTTTGTAGGCATTAGAAGAATTTTCCCATGCCAAAGTGGCATAAGATAAATGGCTATGTCTGAGCAAATAAATGCTTTTTGACAACTTACTAAGTAAACTCAAAACATGTGCCTTAAAGTCTATTTTGCTATCCAGGTATATTCCCAAATATTTAATCGAATACTGATTATTAAAAGAAGGCTGTAAAGTAAAATACATGCTTTTTGTTTTTTCCTCATTTAAAAGCAAACCATTATCAGCAAACCAAAGTTTGGCATCATTCGCTGCAGTCAAGGCAAGCCTTGCTCTTACAGAAAATTGACGTCAACTAGATTCATAAATAAGAACTTAAAATAAAAAAATTAGAAAAACTTTCAATTAAATATAAAAATATTTTTGATTTTTTAATTAAGGTTGAAAGTTAGCATCACATTCTACTCCACTCAATAAAAATTAATTAGTCAAAAATAAATAATTCAGGTAATAGTTATTAGTGGCTGCTTTTTCACTTGTACAATGGTTAACCATGGAATACCATGGTATCCCAAAATTTAACAGCCAATATTTATAAAATTGTCCCATGAAACCGAAAATACCGTTAAAAATACTAATAACTATTAAATTAGTCATTTTCGACTACTTCATTTTTAAAGAGCATGTCCCCATCATATTGCAATAGTGAAAATTTGGATATATTTCGTAGGTTTTGTATGAAACAGAATTCTAAAACTAAAATGAAATATCAAATAAGTAGCTTATCAGTAGTAATAAGGAATGTGAAAAAATGTCTGTGAATAAATTTTTAAGCGTGACCAAACCTTGTCCTTATATTTAATGTCTACTTCATCACAAACCGCCTAAATAAAAACAGCTTTGTTGTGTTGTGTAAAATACACTGAAGTTTAGCTTTACATATAAACGAACTCTGTAACTCATGTAGTGTATAAATGTGGCACTAGATGGCGCCGCTGCAGGCAATGGTATCGCTTCTGTTATTTTGCGCGTTACAAACAAAACAAAACAAAAATGTCTCCTTCGTCACATGTCTCTTTTGACACACTGCACTGCATCGCTACGATATTAAAACTCAAAAATAAGAGACTCTTGAATTAATTTTGGTTTGCCTAAATAATAGTCACAATGGATATGAAAATGTAAATAATTTATTTTTTGGAGGGATATGGGGCTAAAAAGTATAATGACCCATTTATATATAAATATATTTTGTTTATCAAATAGTTTAACCTAGAATCATTCGTAATATATTAACTAAAATGAAAAAAATACATTTTACACATTCACAAACTTTTTTTACTTTAAAAATCCTGGTTTAAAAAAAATAAAATCTTTTTTACAACCGCGCGTGTCTTAATTTATATTTACGATAATTTTTGCACGCCAGGCTTGTAATACTTCAAATTCATTATACAACAATAATTAATAAATGATTAATAATCTAATATATTTTTTTTAATCATGCTTGGTATTTTTTTTACATTTATTTTAGTTTATTTAGTTTTGTATATTTTTTTACCATTTTGTTATATAGTGTCATTGTTTTTTTGATTTGAAACTCGTATAAATACATATTTCCATTCATTGCTCACAGAATTTATTCAAGGAGTCGTACAGGTGCCAGGAGCAAGAATTACCGTAAATCTAAATTTTGACATAATAAAGATTATTTGTAAATTTCATGAAATTAGTTAAAATTGCTCATGTCACAGCACTTTAAATTTTAAAAATTATCCAATTTTGACACCATATTATGGCAAAATTGCTGTTTTTAAGCAATAGTTTATTTAATAATGCTAAATTAGAAATAAAATCTGTTAAAAAAATGTAACAAAAAATCTTAAATGCACAGCGAATATTTTCCGTTGCGTCATCAATTTGTGAACCAAGCACAGACATTACAATTAGCTGTAGACGTATGTCGACAAACCTGTTTTTGACATTTAAACTTTTAAAATTGGCGATTGCGCCGGGATTAATTTAGATTTTTTGAAATTTTTTTTAATGTTTCAAAGTTAAATATTTAGGGTCATATTTTTTCTATTAAATTTTATTTAAGTTTTTGTAGACCAAACTTTTCCTAATAGCCTAAACACTTATTTATTAAAAAAACTTTTTGTTAAATGTTTCTCTGATTTAATCATTGTATTGCCGACTCGTCTTGCGAAATATATTAAAGTTGTATCGCAAAGTTTTATTTAAACGGTTGAAACTTACATTGAGAAATCAAAGGCGAAAAGAGCAGCCGTGCCGCTTGCAAAGTCCAAAAAAGTTTTCCCCGATGAATTCGAACTACGTTTAATTTTTTTCCGAAGCACCCTTTAAATTGTCGGGAGTGCACCGACAAATAAAAGTAAGTTTAGACTGTGGCCTGTTTGTGTCTCCAGGGCAACAGTGCAAAAACAAAATTAGATTTAAATAAAAAGTTAAATATTTTTCAGGTTTTTTGTTTAAGGGATATTAGACACGTACGTTAATGCTAAAAAAAGTTTGTAGCATGACTGAAGATAAATAAATTTATCGGCAAAGATTTAAACTTGACACTTTTGTTAATTAATTGTTTTAATAAAATTTATTTTAATTTATAAAATATATTGGTGATTCTACAAAAGTTGGGCAACTTTTGACCTCATTTTGTTTTTATAGTTTTCGGAGAAAATTAAACAGTATTTTGTTATGAGAACTTAGATAATATAATAAATATACTGTTCCAGACCTGTATACCGATATCTCAATTATTAGATATGGGACCCACACCAAATTTATAAGTTTATAATGACATTAAATAAACAAGTTCTTAAATTGAAGTTTGCGAAAAAAAGATAACCGAAACATCGAACATGGAACTGACGACACGGTACTGATGAATGGGATACAAATTTGTGATTATAATTCGGAATTAAGTATTTTACTGATATTTTTTATTAGTATATGCTACTTCAACAAATCACATATAGCCTTATATAAATTACAATAAAATATATATACATAAGAAAATAACTACTCACCACAGTACTGAAATTTTGACTGGAACTATACGTGCATTCACCACAACTTCCTCGCTTGCATTGTTTTCAAGATGACTGTCGTGCAAAGGGCGGGCTCTGTAGGTAATTTTTTACCAACACTTGAGTTAAAACGAGGACTTGACGTTTAAACTTCAATATTTCGCAGGAAT